TATAACAGCCTGTGATTAACAACAGTGTTAATCCTGGTGAAGCTTCTTCATAATTTCAACATAAACTCAGATAGCTCTGTCTCCCAGCAGAACTCTTTAAAATAAACACCCCCCGAAAATACAATTAACGTTGTAAGAATGTGAAGCAGCACGTACTGGTTCCAGTATCACACACAGAAACTCTCCGGAGCTTCACATTCATTGTGCTTTAATTAAGAAGCCCACACCGGCCCCTCCTGGTCCCTTTATGTCCTCTGAGATGGTCCCATTGAGGCCAGACGGACTCTTTGTACCCCAGTCTTTGTCTCTCCTTCTCATGCGTCCCACGGGTGAGACAGCGGCGGCGGCGGGCCGTGTTTTTTATTGGCCAATGATAAAGTATCTGCCACGGCCCTCATGCATTATGCAGGGAGGGAGAGGGGCAACTCCTCCCTCCGGTGTGTAAATCAGACTTCAGGYGGCAAAAGAGGTGGAGCTCTGACACCCGTGTTTCTCCTCACCCCCTCCTTCAGCTTTAGGGGGACTCAGAATCCATCAGTGAGTGAAGTGTCTTCATCTGTCTGTTAGCAAGAAAACTCCAGAACCACTGGAGGGATTTTAATGAAACTCTCTGAACGTAATCAACAACGGCTAATCGACCTGAAACAAAGATGTCTGTATCGTAGTTAATTTGACTAAAATTGGCACAGTAGTCAACGAGAGTCATTCCCAACACACAGTCTGGACCATTGATCTATATTACTGGGTTGGACATCGTTAGCTGGTTGCTAACTGCAACGTGCACTCGAAGGAGTGCATTATGCATTGAAAAGCATCAACAAAAAGCAATGAATATTGATGCTTTGAGACGTCGTCCTGTAGAAAAACATTTATAAACTATGGTCCTAAATAAACATGAGGACATTGTGATTGCTTTAGTTTGTGGGAATTGAGAATAAATAACTAATTTAAATTATTAACTGTGGAATTAAATAAATATTTTGTGCATCCCGCATGTTTTTTGTCTATGTGTTTTGATTAGCTTGATATTCATGCATGTATTTATCAATCAGACCTGAGCCCTGGATATTTAAAATAAATACAATTACAAATACAATGAGTTTGTCGCTGCTGGCCCCGGGGGCTGTGTGTGTGGTCGCTGGGGGGACTCTCCCAGTTCTCCACTATGGTCTGATCTGGGGGGTGGGTGGACGGATCTTCCCGTGCGGGTGCCCCTTGGGGCTCTGTGCTCAGGATCCCTCTTGGGCCCTTGGGCTCTGGTCTTCCCTATGTCTGCCTCGTGTCTTGGGGGTTGGGTCTCCGATCCTCCACAGTCACTATTAAATATTCCATTGGAGAAATCTTGTATATACACGCATGTTCACAACTGCTCACAGACAGGTGTTCTGATCRGGGGGGTTCTGACAGGTCACTGAGTGTGTATATACTGACAATATTTATGAATGTAGGCATGTTTGTATGTATACCTTTACTGTATATATGTATGGGTATGTGTATATATTTATATATGCCTTCCATGTATTTATCAATTTATTTTTCAGCTGAGCGGACAGATGTTGGGTGTGTGGTCCTGTGTTTTGTTGGTGTATATTTAATATAATCCTAATCGCTATTGCAGTCTTTCTATCTTTCTAATTACTTCTCTCTCTGTTTTTCTCTCTGTCTCTATTTTCTCTTTACTTATATAAAAAAGTCACTGATGATGAAAAAATAAATAAACTAAATAAACTAATATTTAGTTTCGTTTTCTACTGAAGTGACAAAAGAAAAAAATAAAATAAAATAAATACAATTATTTTCTATATTTTATATGAAATATGTACGTTTATAACACCCATGTTRAACATAAAATGTTTTAGTCAATAAAAAAACTATAAAATTACAAAACTATATAATATATGTTRGCTCTCTAATGGTTTTTATGTCAATAACTTAAAAAAGCAAATAAAAATAGTTTTGCAGAAGTTTTTCTGTAAACCTTTTGCTCTTGTAAACTTGTCATAATTTCTGCAGTTTATTGTAAAATATTGTGTGTAATATGTAGTTTTATTACCACTCAATGCATAAACATCTGCCTTTACGTAGCACGCCCAGGTCACACAGATTATTAGTCTGAGAATGGATTAAATAATGTTTAGGGATATGGTGTGCTAATAGGTGTAACAATATTTTTAAGATTTAAACTTAAACGATTAAAACTCATTGTTTTTTTTCAAGATAAGATGGTCTTACTGGCGTGATAGTAAGTTCGGGGGATATTTGCAAAAAAAAACTGATCACGACTAATTGTGCCATTTAGCCGATAACAATTAATATGACATATAAGAATAGATGACAATTGTTCTTGCATGTTTTTGACTCCACATTTTCTGGCTTTCCCATGATTAAAGTTTGTAGGGTTAGCATTAGCTCCGCAGCAGCATTAGCTCCGCAGCAGCATTAGCACTGCATTAGCGCCGCATTAGCAAATGCTAATGTTGAGCCAATGCTAACGCGGCGCTAGTGCCGCGTTAGCATTGGCTCAACATTAGCATTTAGTCCATGTTAGCATTAGCTTAGCATCAGCAACAATGTTAGCTCCTTGTTAGTTCTGTGCCACTGTGTGTTTCACGCTACAAGCAGCACAAATTAATRACAAAGTGCGTCTTTTGACCATTTTTGCCCGATCCTGTATGAAATATGACAAAAATGATACACCCCTTCAGGGAAACCCAGGCCTTCAGTTTAGTTTTTCAACTGGTATTAAATGGTAGATAAAAGAAGAACTGGTATGATTGTGTGTCTACAGCAGACGACTGTTGGAACAGTAGTTGATTAGGCAAAGAAATTAGTAAATTTGTAAATGTGTGTATGTAACGTTTGAAGTTACTAGTTGCGTTTCCATTGCAAATGTGCGCAAAACTTTGTTGATATTCTGTTAATGTCGAAAAAACACAGTTTCTCAACTGCGGTGTTTCCATTAAGTAAGAAATGCTACTAAAGTCACGCGAATACGTTTGTTCTCACGATAAGTCATTACAAACATGGCGGCGATGGATGTAAACACATAGCATGTTGCTACCACGACACTAGCGCTCATCATCAGAGGAGACGTCGGCGTCTTTTATCGAGGCTTTCCAGAGACAAGTCCCTACTTGGGAGCGGCTACGTATGCTGTGTTTTTGGGAAATTGTAGTCGGTGAGTTTACTATTTTATACTACTTCTGTGATTTTACTACTATTTCTACTTCCTGTTATCTTCTTCATCATCGTCTTTTTCACCAGTAGAAACAGCCGGTTGTTGATCATGTGACTCCCGTGGTGCGAAAAAAGTGTTTCCATTGCAGTTTTGCGAAAAACACCAATTTCGATGCGGCCGAAACACCACCTCATCCTAGAGCAAAAACATTTTGTCGAAAAATGTAATTTTTTTTCGAAACTGACCTGTTTCCATTGAGCAAATTTATTTTCYAAATTCTAATTTGCGCATTTTCATGGTCAATGGAAACGCAGCTACTGTCTCCATATTTGTTTCCTGCCACTTAGCCATACATGAAGCAAAGTCCACCTATAAATAACCCGGTCTGGGCCCAGCTAGGCCGTGAACTGACCCCTGATTTGGTTTCATAGCCCCCCTGTGGACACCACTTACATCTCTGTACTGACCCTACCTTTTTCACATTACCTTCAAACTGCCTAACAGGCTCCTCTTATTACACCCAATCTAGTTTTGACTGAAATCTCTGAGCAAACATCCTCAGAAAGTCGATTCTCGTTGCCTCTGATGACATTAAAACTTCTTCAGTATCCCAAATTGCCCATTTACCGGTGATAGTAGATACCCAATTTGATTTTGGACAAACAGTAACTGCAAATCATGAACCATTTGATATTTATTTTCTAGTAAACAAATTRTGTCCCGCTCTTGAACCCGGCGCGCAGCTCACACTGCAGTGGACCATTGTCGCTTTAATAACCTAATTTGACTAAAACTTGAAGGTATGACAAAGCAATGCATTCAGGCCTGAGAGTCGTCCCACAGCTGAGTCAGGAGGTGAGTGTCTGCCTCACAGTTTGTTGTCATCGAGCCAAACACCCAGATTCACTGCTATGAAGGGGATATTAATCTGATCCTGGATCAGGCTGTCCTGTTATTGAAGCAGATGGTAGCTGGAAAACATCCATCCATTCAGCTAGACCAGTTAAATATTTTTTATTTCACTGTTTTATCAGTAAAAAGGCATGTTTGCATAATTAATCATAAGGTTTATGTTTAATTATGATGTTTAATCATCACTTCACTTAGTGATGGTTAGGTTATATCAACTATATTGTGAGTTTTCCCTCTTATGATATGAAAAACAACTATATTGAAAGCAAACAGCTGTAATTTAATTCAGTGGAAGTTTAGCTTGTTTATCTATTGCATCACAACTTCACTAACATGGTAATATAATGCAAATAAACTAGTAATTTATTACAATATAAAACAAATTTGTCAGAAATTTTTGAGTTTTTTTTTTTATTGGCTCCAACAGATGCCAGCCAAACTCCATGCAGTTTCTGTCTATTTTGAGCTTCTTTGCAAACTGTCAGAAAAGCTCACGAGTGAAAACAAAAACTATGTGCTCGTTGAAGTGCCAAAGGGTGCAGCTTTTCTTCGGCATGCAGTGGGAACAGAAGAACGGAGTGGAAATAAGTGCAAAAACTGAACCATCCCACTTTGGTGAGTTCATGTTCGCATTATTTGCATCAGGTAACTTAATGCAGGGAGGGTTGGAAAAAAGTTAAAGTGTCGTTAAAATCAATGGATAATCTGCGAATTTATTTAGCCGAATTCTTAAACAAGCATTTTCATTTCGATAAAAGTGATTGAGTTGCTGCTTGGGTGATGTAAAGCCCGGGAGGAGAGGAATACTTTAAAGCGGCGTAAAARGTGTACAAAGTCTGGTGGCGCCGCTGTCATCTGGGGGTTTCTGTTGTAGTTCAGCGGCGATATCGGACATGGAGACGCCACTTACCTGAGACATTTGCGGTCGGAGGTTGATCTCCTTCAGGTTGATGCTCTGGGGCTTCAGGTTGTTGAGCAGGTGGCACAGGAGGACCCCATCCCGGAGGGTCTGGGCGAAGTCGAACACCTGCGCGGACTCCCAGGTCACCCGGTGGCTAACGGGCAGCACCTTACAGTTGATCAGCCACAGCGCGCACTGCCTCCAGTACTCCATCATCTCCCTTCTGCCTTCAGACCGACGAGTTTTTTGGGGGGGGAATGTTTGAAGAGGCTCGGTGGTGTGTCGGTGCGGGGCGTTTTCAAATCGTACCCATGCTACGTGGGCGGTGAACCCCCCGAGAGAAAGAGCTCCACGGATGACAGTCCGGAGAGGAGAGGCTGTGGATGGAGCGCGTCCTGCTGCTCTCTCTCTCTCTCTCTCTCTCTCTCTCTCCCCTCCCCCAGTTCCTCACCTCTTCCGCTTACCAAACACACTGAGCAGCAGAGAAAACTCACACTTTGTCTCCTATAATTAGGCATTAATTGTCAGCTTCCAAGTCCTTTTATTTTAATTAACCTTTAAAATAATCTCAGACTACTTCACATAATGAGCTGTTATTACTCTGTTCTAATCAAATTTGTTGTTTGGGACAGATGAAAACATGAAATTACTTAAAAATGTATAGGTTTGTGACATTTTTCACTTAGCATGTAGCCATTTTGTTACTGACACAATGCATTGTGGGTTTGATGAATAGATGCCACTTGAGTCTAAAACACAGAGTCAAGGATAAAAAAATTAAAAAGTCACAAGAGAGTTATTTGTTTGCATTAGTCCTTATGTTCTGCACAATATATGGGTTGAAACGATAAAACTTGATGTTTAGTAAATTAGCTCTGGAGCTAATATTAGTAAGGTATGTTGGTTAGCTCCCAAGCTAGTTATCAACTTGGGAGCTCACATATATACATTTACATTATGGTAATTAGCTCTAAAACTATTTGCTCGGGAGCTATCATCATACTAGGTGGGTTTTGGATCTTTTATCGCCATAAATGGGTAAAGCTAACACCATTTATGTATATTGTGTGGTGTTAGCTACCAAGCTAATCAGCGTGCATTGCCAACGCAATGCACACTATTGTGATTCGTTTCTCATCCAAGTCATCTCCACTTTGACATGCTTCTCCTCCTGCATACTTTGTCCTAGAGCTGCCTTTGTAATTTATATCTGTAAAGCTCCTGTGCCAAATGATGGCTATGCCTTTTGGTGCCTGTACAACTTATAGTTTTTGAAATATTAATGTTTAATAATTTGTAATGGGAGTCAATGGAGCCTTGTATTGGTCCAATACTGCCCCTGCTGTATCTACTCAATACTGAAKCATAGTTTAATAATATTTAATCTCAATAGTTAAGTGTTTGCAATACTAATATGATTGTGTTTTGATGTTTTACTAAAATATTGTCCTAATATTGCTTTACTGTTGTAATATTTTTCAAATTAGTGACAACCATTACATTGGCAATGTGGCCACTTTCTGCACGCACACAAATCAAACCCTGGCCTCGTCCTCTACCACAGCTCCAATGGTCTCATGGTTAGTGCCGTGGGCTTTCATGTGGGAGATCAAGGTTTGAAATCCAGCAGCAGCAACTTTAAAAGAAAATCTCTACAAACTTCATATTGTCACACAATTACCCTTATTACAAACACCTGCTGATGTGACAGGCACAAGCTGGTATAGAAAACACATTTGAACTTGGTCAAAGTTCATTCTGCAAGTCCACTGTTGCAGGTAAAAGCCATGCTGCAATGACATGCTACAAGGCAATGCACACTTGTTTTTACATCGTAAAAACCCATGTCTAGTATTATTAGATGTGGAACTATTAGCTATGGAGCTAACACCATATATTATTTGTGTGGGGTTATGTCCCAAGCTAATATTATTAGCTCTAGAGCTATTAGCTTTAGAGCTAACACCAAATTTGTATATTATTATGTATGGTGTTAGCTACCAAGCTAATATTATTAGATCTGCAACTATTAGCTAGAGAGCTAACACCATATATTTATATGTAGCCTACATATGTGGGGTTATTGCCCAAGCTAATATTATTAGCTCTAGAGCTATTAGCTTTGGAGCCAATAATGACACATATATTATTATATGGTGTTGGCTCCCAAGCTCATATACTTAGCTCTAGAGCTATTAGCTAGAGCGCTAACATCATATTTGTATATTATTAGTCGCCTATTTATGTGGGATTATCTCCCAAGCTAATATTATTAGCTCTGGAGCTAATAGGGAGCTAACACCACATATGTATATTATTAGTATATGTGGGGTTATCTTCCAAGCTAATAACTCTGGAGCTAACCCCACATTACTAAAATAACTGCTCCAGAGCTAATATTATTAGGTGTTTACTGGGTTAGGGAGCTTCAAGCAGACCTAATGTTTGTTTATTTATTTATTTATTTATTTATTTATTTATTTATTTATTTATTTATTTTTCAACCATTCCCTTCCAGGCATCACCACTTCAAGCGAACTCGCCCATGCCCTTCCTGACACAGCCCGGACTTGAACCTGCAGCCTCCAGACCTACCTTTCGGGAGGCGTCTCAGTCGAACCACCTCAGCTGACTCCTTTCAACGCAGAGGAGCAGCGGCTCGACTCCAAGCTCCCGCCCCACGGAGGAAGATCGCTTCGGCTGTTTGGATCCAGGATCCTTACGGTCCTGATCCAAACCTCCTGGTCTCAGGTGAGGGTCTGAACAACACCCTCACCTGTCCCACCTGAACCCCTTCACCTGAGGCGAACATTCGAGGACTCGTCCCACCTCCTCTGCCTCATTATGCAACAAATATAAAAACCATGGTGAGTTTTAGTTTCCTGTCTTCTGGAGAATAAAATACCTACAACTTCTGCTTTTTGTTATTTTTACGCTTCATTAGCAGAACACAGAAACAAAGGAACCGTGACTGATTTACATTTTTCTCTATTAGTGTGTTTTCCTTTCCGACAGATGTGAAAAACGTGTTTCCGAAATGCGTAAATCGATGCTCWTGTTTGCATATTTCGTCTTACCAATCCTCAGTCTGCTTGAAGTAAAAGCCTTCAGCATCCCACCGTCGTTTCAGCCGGTTTAGAAACAGGTGAATGTGTCGAGTTAATGCATAATCTGCCTCTTTAATCTGACCGTTTATTTTCCAGCCACGACTGGAACTGTTCCCATGACTCTGTCAGGCAGCTTTAAACAAGCTTTAAATGGAGTTTGTTGTGTTTTGCTCTGAATGTTTGAACTCAAAGGCACGTTCCTGTGGAAATGAGAAAGATTTCATATTTTTTTGTTTTTACTTGCAGCCTGACGAACAGGGCTGTGAGAGGAAGAGAAACCCAATCTGTGGAAACGACGCCACACCTGGAGGAGAAAGTGCTGCTGATCTCATTACTGGTCCTGGTGGGAGGCCAGCAGAGACGGTCTGCGCTGCTCCTGGTTCTTCTCATTTCAGCAGGACCAAAGACTCTGCTGGTAAAAGCAGCTTCGTGCGTTTTAATTACTATTTAAAGGGAACTGCCCGTCCCAAACTTCCCTCATATTTAATGCTTAATCTGGATTACCACCAAACTAAATCAGGTGATTCTGTTTGCTTGTCAATCATATGTCAGAACATTCGGCTCATTCTGGGACTTTTCACTTTAATAATTTATAAAATACTTTATTTARAAATACTTTTCAATAGAAATGCATTCAGATCTGTTCAATTCCTTCACAAATCTGACTCTTCTGACCGTACTTTTAGCAATGCTTTTAGTTTTAGCCAGAGTTTTTCATCCTTTAGCTTCTGATAATTTGTTTTTTTTTAGCTACTTTTCTGTTACTTGTCATAGTTAGCCTTTAACAACTTTTAGCAATGGTTTTAATTTTAGGTTTCAGTCAGGCTTTTTGTTTATTCTTTGCTGTTTATTGTCTATTTTTAGCTTCTATCTGTTGTTTTTATATTTTTAGCTATCTTGCAAGCTTAGCTTTTTAGTTAGCCAGTTGATGTTTATCAAACATGTTGCTACTTTTATTCTTTAGAAAAAAAAATCGTATTTTTACCTTTTGCCTTTAAATATTTTTAACCTGCTAATTTAGCTTGTAACTGAATTTTTGATCCTTTTACCTAACATGCTATCTTATAATTAGCCTTTCGATACTATTAGCTAACATGCTAGCTTGTATTTAGCCTTTCAAAACTATTAGCTAACATGCTAGCTTGTATTTAGCCTTTCGATACTATTAGCTAACATGCTAGCTTGTATTTAGCCTTTCGATACTATTAGCTAACATGCTAGCTTGTATTTAGCCTTTCAATATAGCTAACATGCTAGCTTGTAACTAGTCTTTCGATATTTTTATTTTTAGAGCTTACACGAAATAGAACCAGTCTTTCAATACTTTTAGCTAACCTGCTAGCTTATAACTAACCTTTTGATACTTTAAGCTAACCTGCTAATTAAGCTTGTAACTAGCTTTTCAATACTATTAGCTAACATGCTAACTTGTAACTAGCCTTTTGATATTTTTAGCTGACCTGCTAATTTACATTGTAACCAGTCTTTCAATACTTTTAGCTAAGCTGCTAATCTAGCTTGTAACTAGCCTTTCAATACTTTTAGCTAACCTGCTAGCTTGTAACTAACCTTTTGATACTTTAAGCAAACCTGCTAATTAAGCTTGTAACTAGCCTTTCAATACTTTAGCTAACCTGCTATTTTATAATTAGCCTTTCGATAGTGTTAGCTAACATGCTAGCTTGCATTCAGCCTTTTGATACTATTAGCTAACATGCTAGCTTGTATTTAGCCTTTCGATACTATTAGCTAACATGCTAGCTTGTAACTAGCCTTTCGATATTTTTAGTTAACCTGCTAATTTACATTGTAACCAGTCTTTCAATACTTTTAGCTAAGCTGCTAGCTTGTAACTAACCTTTCGATACTTTAAGCTAACCTGCTAATTAAGCTTGTAACTAGCTTTTCAATACTTTTTGCTAACTTGCTAGCTTGTAACTAGCCTTTCGATATTTTTAGCTAACCTGCTAATTTAGATTGTAACCAGTCTTTCAATACTTTTAGCTAAGCTGGTAATCTGGCTTGTAACTAGCCTTTCAATACTATTAGCAAACCTGCTAGTTTATAACTAGTTTTTGATATTTTTAGCTAACCTGCTCATTGAGCTTGTAACGATATTTTCAGCTAACCTATTATTTTACCTTACTAAAAAAATAAACTATTTTACCTTACTGGCCTTTTGCTGTTTGTATTAAGCTTGTTGCTACTTTTATCCTTTAATAAGACTTTTGCTACTTTTTGCTTGTAAATAATTGTGATACTTTTGACCTTAAACCAGTGTTTTGCAACTTTCAGCTATTGTTTTGGTAATTTTAGCTTTTAGCTGCTTGTTTTAGTTTTTACAGCTCAGCTTCATCATGAAACCTCAGTGAAGCCATTTAACACTCGCTCTGTTTTTATGGTAAAATAAACTCAACTTTTTGGTTTTTTATAAATTATTTCTCAGACTTAACACTGGGAACAGGTCGGGACATTTTTCTGGCACTGTTACGTTGGCATTAGTCCTCCAGCCGAAGCACAGCCGAATAACCTCGTAATGTTGAACCAAGCGAGTAACAGCAGGATCGAGTCCGGGCCCAGAAGGCAGATGGGATCCGACTGGCTCGCTTGGGATTTATTTTTATTTATTTGTTTGTTTGTTTGCTGTCAGAACACATAACTGAGGGTTTTCAACAAGTGAGACATCAGATAAAGCTGGAATAAAAAACAGACCAAACTGTAAAGGTTATTTTATTGTTTAAACGCACAATAAATTATTTATTCTCCCCTCAGAATGTTCAGCCTCCTGCTGATTTAAATTCTTGTTCTGTTTTCAAACATCAACAGAACCTGCCTGCGTTTGTTTTACTGTTTGAGAGAAAAACTGATGATTATCAGTCAGAAGTGGGGGGATCTGAGGGGGTCCGGTAGATGATCTGATGAGAGAGCAGCCTCAGGTCAGCTGCTTGACAGTAAGAAGTAACGATAATAAATTATCTAATCTGCCGCCTGAAATGAGCGGGCCAGACCGGGTCAGGAAGCCGAGCCGAACCAAACTCTGACATCCAGTCATTCTGCACAGGAAGTTTACATTTTCACACATTCAGAGCAGAAACACGAATTTTTCTTGTTTATTTGTGCCTTTTTTTAGCTGTTCAAATATCAAAACATTCACCTCATTCAGCAGATAAATTTTTTTAATAATGTTCGACTTTTCATAAAATTGAACTTTATTTACAAGTATTTTACCACAAAAATACATTTAAATCTCTCAAAGAACTTCAAAAATATTGTTTTCTATTGGCTTGATTATTGTCTTCTGCTGCTATTTTTAGCTTGTAGCCAAGTTTTACAACGTTTAGCTCAGCTTGAAAACATTTAATATGATTAATCTCAGCTATGCTAATGCTACTTTTAGCTTTCAGTCAACACTTGTGTTTTTATAGCGCTTACATACTTTTCACATCTAGCTAGCCTTTTAATATTTTGTTTTGCCTTCTTTTGTTTTAACTATTCTTTTACTGCTTTTAGCATTTAGSTAGCTTCTACAAACTACATTTAACATTTACCAATTGTTTTTCTACGTTTAGCATTTAATTAGCTGCTGCTTCTTTCGGATTTAGCTAAACGTCTCATATAAAGTTTAGCTTTTAGCTAGCCTTTGTCTTCATTTAAATAGTGTTTTAATACTTTTAGCCTTCAGCCTTTAGTTTTTTAGCTTTTAGATCGTTCTTTGCTACTTTTAGCACATAGCTAGCCTTTTGATACTTTTTAGCATTCTTTTAACTATTATTTTACTGTTTTTAGCATTTAGCTAGCTTCTACCATCTACATTTAACATTTACCAATTGTTTTGCTACATTTAGCATTTAATTAGCTGCTGCTTCTTTTGGTAGCAAGCTTTGGTCTTCATTTAAATAGTGTTTTAATAATTTTGGCCTTTAGTTTGTTTAGCTTTTCGATAGTTCTTTGCTAATTTTAGCACATAGCTAGCCTTTTGATACATTTTAGCATTCTTTTAACTATTATTTTACTGCTTTTAGCATTTAGCTGTTTTCTTCAAACAATTAGCTACATTTATTTACATTTTGCTACATTTAGCATTTAATTAGCTTGCTGTTGTTTTCAGTTTTAGCTAACATCACATTTTGCTAGCCTTTGTCTTCATTTAAATAGTGTTTTGCAACGTTTAGCCTTTGATTTTTTTTAGCTTTTAGATAGTTCTTTGCTACTTTTAGCATCTAGCRTTTAGATAATTTCACGTTGTATATTTTATGCTATGCTTATTTTCTTTAGCTAGCTACTTGTTTCTTTCACCTCTAACAGTGGTTTTAGCTTTTTCAACTTAGAAGATGCTGCATCCGATGGTTCTGTTTGTCAGTTTGCTCTGCCTCTTTTATTCGGCTGATGGTAGCCAAAAACAGAGCAGGACATGGTGACAGTAGGTCAGAATTCATGCCCTCTGCTTCACACTTTGTTTTGTTTCCAGTCGTTGGCACGAAGCGGTCCTCGTCAGATCCTCAGAGACCCCCCCTCCTGCTCATTGTGTCACTTGATCCGGGCCCGCTGCCGGATCTATTTGTGAAGCTCTTTCATCCCTCTGTGAAGGACACATCGTCTCACAGCCAGAAAACAGCCGAAGGCTCTCTTTACCGCAGGGCTGTTGTGAAGATTCACCTCAGCTGTGGGTTTTTAACATTACTACACTCTGACGGACCAGCAGTTTATGACATATTTTGCTAACGGAACAAAAACTCCACCTCCTCCTTTCAGGCGATTATTAAATTTACACAAACAGTTCAGTGGAGTTTAGAGTGAAACACATGACCTGAGGATGATGAGGAGAGGAAGGAGCTCCTCAGCTTTTCTTCATTGTTTTCTTGTTACGGTTATTGATCGTCTGACTCGGCACTCTGTTCGGCTGTTTTAGGAGAGCCGAAAGAGAAAACAATGAGCTGGAATACCTCCTGGGAAAACGGCCCAAATTATCAGCTGCTGCGGGGTCAGGATGAAGGCTACGGACTGTGAAACAGGAAGCCAGGTGTGCTGAAACAAGAAGCCAGGTGTGCCGAAACAAGAAGCAAGGTGTGCCGAAACAAGAAGCCAGGTGTGCTGAAACAGGAAGCCAGGTGTGCTGAAACAGGAAGCCAGGTGTGCCGAAACAGGAAGCCAGGTGTGCCGAAACGGGAAGCCAGGTGTGCTGAAACAGGAAGCCAGGTGTGCCGAAACAGGAAGCCAGGTGTGCCAAAACAGGAAGCCAGGTGTGCCGAAACAGGAAGCATGGGGAAGCCAAACTGTGAGGGAACGCTGAGCACTGAAGAATGAATTTTAGCTGAACTGCTGAATATAAACTGAACCAAACATGAGCTAAAACAAGAAAACAAAGAGCTAAAACATCAACAAAACCAAAGATAAAAACTTTATCTAAAAGCAAACTTCACCAAAACATCGGCTAAAAGACACAATAAGTAGACAAGCTAAGCTAAAATCGGCATTACAATAGCTAGAAGCTGTATTTAGAGAAGCAATTGCTTCCAGCCAATATTAATAAAACAGATGCTAAAAACTAAATTCACCAAATTAGCACTAAAATTGCAAAAAGCTAAAATTAACACAAATGGAGCTAAAATAACAGAAACAGTGGCGATAAACTAACATTTTTAAGCTAAATATAGCAAACTATTGCGAAAGGTTCAAAGCATTAGCTAAAAGCAAAATCAGCTACCTTTTGTATTGCAATAGTTGAAGCTAAAATTTGTAAAACAAGCTGTTACAATCTAAAACCACCGAAGCAAAAAGCTAAAACTAGCATAAATATAGCTAAAAGCTAAACTCACAAAAACAGTATCAAAAAGACAATTAATACCAAAATAGCTGAAAGCTAAAAGTGTCACAAAGGAATTTAAAATCACCTAAACAGTAGCAAAGATATCGCTGTTTCWAAACTGTAGCTTCAAACTAAATGCAGCAAAACATGGATAACAGCTAAAAGTAGATAAACTGCAGCTTAAACAGTAACTGAGAACTAAATATGCTAAAGCCATACCTAAAAGCTACAGGCTATGTAATAAAATTGTTGAATAAGCTAAATGGAGCAAAACCATAGTTTAAGGTTAAAAATAGTAGTTAAGCTAAAATCATTAATACGTTTATTAGATGATAAATTTAGTAAAACAAAGCTAAAATTTGTTGCTAAAAGCTAAAATCACCAAAAATATAGCAAACAGACAAATATAGCACCAATGTAGCAAAAGCTAAAATTAGCACAAATTAAGCTAAAATAGCTCAAACAATATTTAAAAATAATTGACAAATTGAATGTAAAAATTAAAGGAATTAGCTAAACTGTAGCTCAAAACTGCAAATGTGAATGAGCTCAATGTACTAGCTAAAATAAAATTACCTAAATTACAGATAACTGGTTTACAAGCTGRGGTGACCATCTTGATTTGACTCCTAAAGTTGAAATATAATTTACTCAGTGGTTCATGAGATATTTTGCTAACAGAGTCAAACAGGAACTCTCATTCTTTGATGTATTTTCAGAGTAAAGTTCATAATTTGGACATTTTATTTTGTAGTTTGGGCTGCATCRGGCTCGCTGGTTCTGCTGAGCTTATCAGTCGGCTCCAGGCTCATCTGGACCATTTCAGAAAACCGACTGAAGCTGAAACACTTGGAGCTGAAGCTGCAATAGAGAAGAAAGAATTTAAGGTAAGAATAAGTTGTGTGTTTCTGGTAACTCGTGAGAACTTTTAACCAAACATTTGGCCCTGAGTCTTCGGCCTCTGACAGCAACAAGCTGCTGAAGCTCTGCCTCTCTAATAAAATCAGAGCATTTATTGCAGGTGCCGCTCTGTTGTTGAGCTGCAGGTTTCAGCGTGACGTTAAGCCCTCACAGCGTTGATTCTTTATTGTTTTCTGGAAGCAGATGGCCTTGAGCGTGGCCGACAGAGCCGTCGGGGCCGTGATCGGAGCCGCCGTGGCRGACGCTGCAGGTGGGTGAAAAAACTACTTCCTTTAATCAGCTGTGAGCTTCCTGTTCCAAAACAAACAAAAGGTGTCACGTTTTTATTTAAAGACATAAATCTGTTTTAGTGTTGTACAGTTTGCAGCTAAATGTTTTCAAATCTGCAGTGTTGATGCAATAAACAGAAACGTTATCTGTAAGACACATCTGTGAACGTTCAGGGAGGTGCCTTCATTACTGAGTCATGATGATCGCACACACACACACACACACACACACACACACACACA